AACACTGCATACACTCCATAGATGGATGGGTTATCTTTGTGCGCCCCTGGGCTTGTGCCCTGGCAGGAGCTGGTTTCACCAACCCCTAGATACGCCTCTGATGACCTGTGTCAGGAGAAAGACAGGGAGTGTAATCTCTGAGTGGCTTCTGTTACCATCAGCCAAAAAGTATCCTTCTGTGGTGACTGTCTGAGCTGGGTATTAGGGTTACCACATTGCAGTGGTTTCACTCTTGCTTGGCTGAACAACTCCAGAAGGTAGCTTTTGGGAGCATTACTTACTCGGTGGATTCTCCAGTATGGAGTCCCTCAGGGGTTGATTCTGTCTCCCATGTTGCTTAACATGTACACAAAATTGCTGAGTGGGACTGTACAGAGTTTTGGAGTGCATTGTCATCAATATACTCCTTTTCATCTTCTGCAGGTGAGGCAGCAGATGTGCTGAATCAGTGCTTGGTTGCGATAATGAACTGGAACAGGGCCAGAAAAGTGAAGCTTAATTCAGACAAGACTGAAATGCTCTTGGTGGGTGGTTCCTCTGACCAACCGAGTGATGTGTGGCTTGTTCCAGATGAGGCCTTGTAGTTGGTTCACCTGGATCCATTGCTGTCACTTGAGACACAGCTGGCCTCAGTGGTGTGGAGGGTCTTCCATCAGCTTAGGTGGGTGGTCCAGTTTCAAGCCTATCTGGACGGGGGCAACTTGACATCAGTAATCTATGCTCTGGGAACCTCAGTGCTGGACTATTGCGTTGTGCTTTACATGGAACTGCCTTTGAAAACAGCCCAGAAGCTTCAGTTTGTGCAGCCTGTTGACAGATCATATGATACCACTTCTGCTCCAACTGCACTGCCTCCTGTATGCGTCTGAGCTAGTTTTGCCCTATAAAGTTCTTTATGGCTCAGGACTTAAATGTCTTGTGAAATGCTTCTCCAGATATAATCTTACCCAGACCCTTAGATCTTGTGAGGCCCATCTCCAGGTCCCTGCTCTGAGGGTGGTGACCAGGGAGAGGGCCTCTTTAGTTGTGGCTCCCTGTCTGTGGAATGCTTTCCCCAATGAGGTTCACCTAGCCCCTTCATTAACATCTTTTCGGTACCAGTTAAAGACTTTTCTTTTACCCCAGACATTTGAGACTGAGATTATGCTATTTTGCTATTAGTATGCTGCCAAGCTATTATCCTTTGGCTATTATCAGGGTTGTTTAGGTCTGCTTTTATGTGTTTATGTTTCTAATATGTAACCTGTAAATTGCTTGGAGATCTTTGGGTCACAAGCAACTAGTAAGTTATCATCATCATCACCTCCCTCCCTCTCTCTCTTTGCCATTTTCCCCATTGTCTGTTTTAGTTTGGAAGCTCATTGGAAGTAGAAGCATGGCTATGTAGCCCCATTGTACACTGATGGCGCAGTATAAATAAATTAGAAACATACCAATGATCCACTTGTGTCTCCTTCACACTTATGAACCTCAATCCAAAGGAGAAACCACATAGAATCTTGTGGCACCTCAAAAAATTATAAGATTACACCGTAAACTATTATTTGACTAGAGTGCACTTCATCAGATGCACAGAATATTATACCATTCTGTATTTCTTGCAGTACATTTATCTGACCTCACTGCTAACATTTTGCCACACATATCCCTTCTCAGAGTGAGTGTGGGGTTGTGGATAGAGTCTTAGACCTAGGCCTGGATTTGAATCCCAGCTCAGCCACCACGTTTATTGGCTCACCTTGGACCCGTCACTCTTGGTCTAATCTAGTTCACTGGGCTGTTGTCACTCATTTCACCCATGTGTGTCACTCTGAGCTCCTTGATGGAAGGGTGGAGTATAAATATTATACATTGGCTAATACAAGCAAGGTGTGTGTATGCACCGGTTTGTGTACACACTTATTTAGATGAAAGGTTCACCACTGCAATCAATGGATTCTGCACCTGGATTGATTTATTCAAGGAGATTTAACTTTCCCATTGTTCTCCTTAGGTTCAGGGACAGAAAATCTGGCAAGCCAAGAGAGGTCTCCCTTTCTGTACACTGCTAATCTTAGCACACAGCAAGTGTTCTCGCTCAGCCTTTAGGAATTTCACTTGCCTTATAGGATTTGATAAAAATTAAAAATCAACAGAGCAGAGATCTCCTCAGCCAGCTTTTTTTGAACTCTTGGGTACAATTTATCCCAGCCTGCTGATTTTAAAATGTTTATTCCTGGTAGATGCTGTTTAACATCCTCCCTAGGTGCAGTTTGCAACGGAAGATGGTTCATCATCATTATGGGATATGGATGTATCACTCTGCTTCTTCCCAAATACAGAACAGAAATATTTATTGAACACTTCTGCCTTCTCTGTGCCATTAATAACAATTTTTCCCCCATCACCGTCTAGTAATGCCTCTGTATCATTGTTAGGGTTTCATTTGTTCTTGATAAAACTTTTTAAAGATCCCTTCCTATTGTCCTTAGCCCTGTCAACTCTGAGTCTTTCTCCAATACTTGTCGCTTCTCTTATTAACTTTGTACATTTCCTAATTGATAATTTATATTGATTCCTTGCCCATTCATTTCCTCATTTGCTATGCCATTTTACTTCTTTCTGAGGTTTTAACCAAAGGAAACAGTTCTGCTTTTGCTTTGAAGAAACATTTTGATCACAAAAGGGCTGATAACAGCACCTTTACTATGTGGGTGTTTTGTTTTTTTATTGGCTACCATGTTTTCCAAGAGTATTCTAACACAATATTGGCATCAAGTAATGGCTGCATATCACCATTCATATCCATACCCATATCGTGCTATCCGTCTGTATACCCACTGCGGTCATCCGATCCTTCCTTTATTACATCCACCACTAGACTGCAGCAGTAGTACTTAAACTCATCCCGCATTTATTTAATATGGGCAGCATACAGAAACGTACCATACTTCCAGTGGAAGAATCTCCAATTCACCCGTAACTATATATTGAAAGGGCACATGGTTAGAAAACGTGCTCTTTTACCACCAGGGATTGTGCATATGCCAAATTAAAGAGTAACACATCTGAGTTGGTGATCTTGAATCATGTTGCTATGTGCTGGCCTTGTAATATGTACCGTATTTTTTGCACCATAACACTCACTTTTTTCCTCCTAGAAAGTAAGGGGAAATGTCTGTGCGTGTTATGGAGCGAATGCCTGCGGGTGGCGGGGGGGATCTGCTGCAGTCGTGAGCAGAGGATCCATGGTTCCCCTTCCTTCCCTCCTCCGTGGTTACAAAGCATGGATCCACATGGATCCTCAGGATTTTTGCATTGGGCTACTCCAAACTCACTGTCAGATCACATGTCTGTGGCCACAGCATGAACCACAAAAATCATATATCCACTATTTTGTTTAGAATATTTTTTTTTCTTGTTTTCCTCCTCTAAAAACTACGTGCGTGTTATGGTCTGGTGCGTGTTATAGAGCAAAAAATAGGGTATTTAGTTTAATCTGATCCTACATAGCACCTAGTTTTCCCAAATCTCTCCACCCACCCATAGAGACCACCATATCCTCCTAGGAGTGGCTGTGCAGTTTCTGCCCCCACCAGTTAGTGAAAGCCACATGGGCGGAAGTTGTGCTCCCTTTTTTCCTTCTCCACTATGTACAATTTGGATTAAATCTTAATCAGCCATGAAAGAAAATCAACAAAAGATGTAGCAGCATGTTGGTGATTAAACCACACTTTGAATGAGGAAAAATACAGCTAGGTTGAATGAAATATGAAAATACTGTTACGAAATATTTCATATAGACTCTAGCACATTGGGGTAAATAGAAAAGGAGTTTGCAAAACTGAGATTCTTCCCCAGGACCCTTTAAACCTGGCACAATTTTCAAGGTTGACAATTTAAACTTTTCGGTATTCGTCTGAGAGTGTGATGCGGTAATAACACTTTATAAAGTTCCTTCGAAATTTCACTTGTTCCTTTATAGCCACCATCTGTGGTTCTCCAGATGTTGCCAGGCCACAGGTCTCATCATCCCTGCCCATTGGTCATGCTGGCTGGGGGCTGATGGAATTGAATTCCACATCTGGAGGACACTAGAAGTTCCCATTCCTGCTTTAGGTACCCAGAGTCTTCCGTCTTGGGTACTTTCTTGAGTTTGACCTCAAGTTGCACGGATACCAGCCATGAAAAGCTACCCAAGCTCAGTTTAAGCCCCATTGTTTTCAATACGATTTTCAGTCCAATCTAATTTGGATTGGATGGGGGGCTTTTTTTTTTAGTCCCCTCCATTCCTCCCCACACTTCTACCCCAAGCCAGGTTAGAAATTGAAATAAAGAAGCAAAGTGAAACAAAGCAAAGTCCTGTATGCAGGATGATGATCATCGCCCAGGCGGGCATTTTGCTTGCAAACAACCACAAGTGGAAGCTGAACGAAGCCGTGCGCGCGCAAAGCATCCTTTCCCCGTCCCTCGCTCTCCATCCATCTCCTTGCCTACTCCACCCTTCCCATCCTCCCCCCAGCCCCGGCTCCTCTCCTGCCAAGGCTGGCCAATGCGGCCTCCCTCTCCAAAGGCCAGCCACTGTCTGCTAGCAGCAGCAGCAGCAGCATCCCTCTCCCCATCACCGTGATGGAGAGACCCTTCTCCTTTCTAACCTCGCCCCTGTCTCCCTTCCAGAAACACCCCATTCCCCTCCGCGCACCCTTTCGCTGTCTGCCCGCCCCCCTCCCTCCCTCGTCTCCTTTTGTCTCTCCAGGACAGACACCGCGCTGTCTGCGAGAAACATCCTTCTCCTTCCCCCTCTCCCCCCCCCCCGCCGGCTTGGCTCTCCTCCCTCCTGATGTATGAGCTGCGGAGGAAAATGTCAGGGAAGATTCTAAATTGGACACGAGCGACTGCGCGGTAGGGAGGGTGGGGCCCAGCGAGCCTAACGAGTCTTCTCTCCCCCCCCCCCCCCGCCATCCCTCTGCTTAGAAAAAAAGGGGGGAAGAGGAAATGCCTCAATTCTGCATGGTGCTGGCTCATAGCTCCCCCACCCCTGAAAGTGCAAACGGGGGGGGGGGGTGGAGCAGGGATCGGGCCAAAGAGGGGAGCGTGGGCGTGGATCGCCGGATAATCAAGCAAGCGGCTGCGAAGCAAAATGAGATTTTTGCAAGGTGGCGGCGAAGCGTGTTGGGGTGGGCGGTGGAGGACGGGTGGAGGGGGGGGGGGAAGCAGCAGCAGCAGCCCCGGGCCGCCAGCGACCGAGGCGAGCATGCGAAGAGGAGCGAGCGAGCGAGCAAGCGCCCGCCGCTGATGGATGGCGCTTTCATAACTTCCTCTGTATTAAAGTGCGGGTTCACCGCGAGGGCAGGCCCATCCATCACGCCGCTGAATGGGCCTTTGATTTGCTGAGAGCACCAGGCGCTGCGCTGGCTGTCTGCTCTGCCGGCGCGGTTAATATCTATCGCTGCAGCCGTGGGGGAGATGATGACGCGAGGAGGGAGAGGGTGGGAAGGGGGGAGGCGGGATGGGTAGGGGGCTGGCCACGGCGGCGGCGCGGAAGGTGGCAGGAAAGATGCAAAAGCAAGGAGAGGAAGAAGGGGCTCGGCGGTGCGCGCGCGCGCGCAAGCAGTCCCCTTTTGGAGGGCGTGCCGCGCGAAGTTGCACGCACGCAGCGCCGCCATCCCCACTTTGGAAAGCACGTGCGCATCCATTGCAGCTTCAGACAAGCAGAGGAGAGGCGTTTGCAGCGCCAACGCCAGAAAAGCATCGTCTGTCCGCCCTACTCGGCTCACTCTCTCTGCGTATGTGTGTGAACGATGGAAGTGCAGACATGTGTCTGCAAACGTACTAAAACACGCGTGCCTGGGAGCCGCGGCCGTTTTGTGCAGACAAAGCGTCTCCCGTGCTTAATTTGCAGGCGCGGCGGAGGGAAATGTAGGACCTCAAGTGTGGCTCCCGGTAACAGCCCTTGACATCTAGCTGCATCCTCTTTCCCCTAAAATGCCAGATTTCAGATGCATGGGTTTCAGTGGAACTCTCTGTAATTGTTCGGCGGTGAATGAAATGCACTCTGTACCTGCTCAAAGACATTTTCTTCCGTCCCTCTTCTAGTCTCTTCAGGAGAGTGGGAATCAAGTGTATGAGAATAGATGAAAGCACCCCCCCATCTAATTAGGCAGGATAATTTGTACTGTCATTTTGAAAGCAGGAGGGGAAAAATATTTAGGGGGCAAAATGTCTAGAGACATCCATAAAATGGGTTTTGTGGAGATTTCAAGGAACGCATACAAAAGGTGAAAACTTTCTGAATTGAGTCTTTTTTTCTTTACAAAAAAGGACCAACACAAATTTTAGCCATGGGTTTGCCTTTTGGCAAACTACACAGATCATGTATTTTAGGGAAACGTTTCCACATGTATGCATCTGTGGAAATTCATTCAAAAGCGACCTTGTTGGTGTAAATTATATTACATCAGTTCTGGCTCATACATTTACATATGGTCCGTGCCTGACTGATTTATGTAATGAACAAGTTTTCAGCTTCTAGTGGATTGAATGCGGTAGTGATGAGGACCCTGCAAAAATGTCCTGCCCTCAGTAGGAAAGTGTGTCATCTGTGTATGGTTTAGGCATTAGCCAGAAGATTTTTCTAGAGTATGGCCATGGTCAGATTAGTGGTGTCCAGCTGCCCAACTGTTCCAGGACATAGATGTGCAAAATGCTTTCTAGATGTTAAGTAAAATAGTCCTCTTTTTTTTTTTAAATGATATTTATTAAAGTTTCAAAGAATACAAAAAATACAGAATACAGATAAAAGAGTAAAGTTTTTAAAATATAACAAAAAAGTAAAGAATAAAAAAGAAACATACAAAGTAAAACAGTTAAAAAGACATTGATTTTCCAAACCTATCTTCCCTGCACTTATTTCCCCGGACCTCCTCATACCTCCCTTTTTTGTATTCCAGTTCAGTTTGTTAGTTCAGCAAACCCTTACCATTAAACTTTTACCCAATTGTAAACCTTTTTTCATATCTCTTAAAGCATTACAGCTAAAAACCTCTTAGTTTCTATCCAACATCCTTCTAAGATTCCTGACTCGCAGCAACCTCGGGTAGTCCTCAAAGCTTCATAGTCAGAAAAAAATGTGGCGCAGAGGGGGTGGAGGAGAATGGTGCAAGGATTGTTGGACATAAACACAACCCTGTGTTTCCCCTTGGATGCACATTGCTACACACAAATTTAGAGATGTGCCCTCTCTTCAGAAGGGCAGAAAAACACAAACCTTTTCTAACAATGCACACCTGTCCTGCTGTGTGTAGCAGAATCTTCCGCCTGCACAGCTTGGGTAGAATGCTGTGGATTTTGGCACCATTCTTTTGTAATCCGGAATTTTCCATCAGCTACTTTGCTTGTTTTGCAGAGGTGGCGGTGGGAGTGAATCAGCGTTCATTTCGGAACTTTGATTTTGTTCCTCCTTCAGCACAGACAATTTGAGCTCTGTAATTACAGCAAATTACATTCTTAAATTGACATGGAGCTTTTGAGCAAGGGTCTAGCTAGCCCGAAGGCTGGTTGACAGGATAAACAGCCCAGTTATCAAGAAGGCAATGTGGCAGGGTGCCATTGGTGATCTCAGGATACCATTTCAGATTTCAGAGTGGGGTAGGGTTTTTTTTGGGGGGGGTGTTATGGCATGGAAAAGAAGATTCAGTAGGGTTCAAAGTCTGGCTATTCACTACCACTGCAAATGGCAATTGATTTCAACCACATACATCTGGGATTTTGTAAGAAAAAAGTATTTAGCCATCACTGTACTTGTTTTATCATTGCACTCACCCCATCTCCATTATTTTGGTTAAAGCAAAGGAATGTATGCTTGTGGCACAACAGCCTTTAAATATTCTGTGAATAAAGATAAGTGACTTTAAACACCAGGGAAGGGTGCATCTTTCCTGAATGTTGCCCCAATGGTGTCATGAAGTTGAGAGATTGGCAGGTTTTGAAACCTACAGAACATATGGTGGGACTTGGGAGGATTGTTACAAAGAACACCTTCCACACCACAGTTTACTGTGGATTTGGTTCTGTTCAGGCACTCAAGCTTTGTGAAATGTCCCTATGGCACTGTCCTCATCAAAATGCTATTCCATATCCCCACCCCGAATTTAATCCCAATGTATCCAGCATTGGTCCTTATTAATTTTTTTGTTGGATTAGCATTTTTATGTATTGTGTACAGCTAGTGTTTTAAATTTTCTTTGGCTTTAAATTCTTTTCATGTGCTTTTTTTTGTCTAGTCACTTTGAGACTTTTTACTGTAAAAAGCAACTAATAAATAAAAAAAAATAGTAAGAGTAAAACTTCAATGTTGTACAAAGGTAATCGCTCCAGCAGGGCAAGTATTTTGTCTTGCCAGACGGAACATTTCCCCTTCTCCCCCCCCCCATGTGCTGTTTCAGGGTTCTCCTGACACCCCCCCCACCATGGGGGGGGTGTTTTGCAGAAGGAGAGAAGAGGAAAGCCAAGTTGCACAAGAGGAAGTCCTTGCACAGGTTTCTGCTGACAGGACTGTTTAGCTGAATCTGCCCCCCCCCCAAATAATAATTTACCATTTCGCTTTATTATTTTAAAATGAAGCACTTCCAGATGACCTGTTTATTGAGCATTCATCCTGATTTGTTTGAGGGCGAGGCTAGATGACACTGCGTTGAACACAGACGGATTTATAATGGTGCAAACGTTGCAATTGCAAGAGGGCCTGTGCCTGCAAGGGATTCCAGACATAGAGATTTCAATGAAAAAGAAGAAACAACCCTTTAGCCCTAGTAGAAGGAAAGTTACAAAGCAAAGTGTATAGTTTCCGTTCATTCTGATTGGACAGTGGGCAGATCCACACCATATATATATATTTACAAATTTCCAAAAATCATATAACATACTTTCTTATCTTATACAATGTTTTGGACTTCCATCAACCGCATCTGAAGATTTTTCAGTCTTTATCACTTAATCTACATTTCTTAATTTCTCTATTGCTTTTAATTATCCTTAACTAATAACTCTCTTCATAATCTCTGCAATACGTCACATAATCCTCCTTACAGAACTTCTTGGAGTCCTACTAGCGTAATCTGTTTATTACAATTGCTTTTCAAATAGTTCAAATATTTCCTCCAGTCCTCTGAGAATCTCTGATCCCGCAGGATTTGGATCCTTCCTGTCATCTTATCTAATTCTGCATAGTCCATTAATTTTGTCTGCCATTTTTCTTTCGTCGGTAGGTCTTCTTGTTTCCATTTCTGTGGCAGATCCACACCATATATTTAATGCACATTTAACGCCCCAGAGGATCCTGTGAATTGTAGTTTGTTAATGTAACTGAGAATTGTAGCTCTATGCAAGGACAACTACACTCCCCAGGATTCTGTGGGGGGATTTGTGTGCTTTAAATGTGCATTCGTTACGCTTTAAATGCATGGTGTGGATTTGCCCTTATTTGTGGGGAGGTTAGACACTGGGGCCCATCCAGACTTCCTTTTGTGCTGTGTTTCTGGGCTTTAAAGCTCCATGTCTGAGCTTTCCCTAGGAAAACCAGAGTAAAAGGATGTCTGGATGAGCCCAGCGCTGTGTTATCCCCACATTTTCCAGTGCATTTTCCTCTCACTTTTCTTATTTGGGTGTGCATGTTTGTTTTGCAGGATCTCCCAATCCACTGTAACTGTGAGATTTGAATTTGCCAGTATGCGACTGAATCCCACCCCAAAATAATGGCAGTCTGGAAGTGCCATTAGCGAATTTTCTGCAGAAACAGTAAATCCAGATTCAGCTGGAAAAGCACATGGGGCGTTTTGATGAAGATGGTGCTGTGCAAGGGCTGTGCAAGACTTGTGTGCGTGAATAGCACCGAGACCGCAATGAACTGTACGTGAGGAAAGGCTAGGAAGCAGAGAACCGAGAAGGCGAGGAAGGACGGAGCAGAGGACAGGCTCAGCCAAAGAGGTGTGGGTCACCGAAGAAGGAGGGTGACAACTTATACTCCATTCTGAGCTGATGGGAAGACAATGAGCCATAACGGGTCCATGTAGCCAATCGTGGACTCACATGGCAAGCGGTGTGCTCTGTAACAATGCGTAACAACATCGCAATGCCTCTGTGCCTCAGGAAATAACACATGGATGAATGTGGCCAATAAGACATCGCACAGCACATGGAATGACATTGCATAATGACACATGATGTCAAGGTGGTACTGAGAGTCGAGGGCTTCCGAAGGATTCAAACAATCCACAATTCAAGGGTAGGCGGGTAGGGAGCTTTTATTTTGGGGGGGGGAGAGGGACATGGATTCATGCTAGTGAGTGAATGGCAGAGTACATTCCCCAGTATAGAGCAGGAAGCTCGTTGGTAGATTTGTTTGAATCTCTTTACTTAAGCAATCTAATCTGGCTTGTCCAGATTGGGTTTGTTCCTGGTAAATCACCTTTGTTCCCTCTTAAAAAGAATAAAGACACAACAGTCTTCTATTAAAAGTAATGATAAGAAGTTTACTCACATTCAGTTCACAGTAGACGCGGGTGGTGCTGTGGGTTAAACCACAGAGCCTAGGACTTGCCGATCAGAAGGTCAGCGGTTCGAATCCCCACGACAGGGTGAGCTCCTGTTGCTCGGTCCCTGCTCCTGCCAACCTAGCAGTTTGAAAGCACATCAAAGTGCAAGTAGATAAATAGGTACTGCTCCAGCAGGAAGGTAAACGGCGTTTCCGTGCGCTGCTCTGGTTCACCAGAAGTGGCTTAGTCATGCTGGCCACATGACCCGGAAGCTGTATGCCGGCTCCCTTGGCCAATAAAAAGAGATGAGCACCGCGACCCCAGAGTCGGCCACGACTGGACCTAATGGTCAGGGGTCCCTTTACCTTTACCTTTTAGGTTCCCTGAAGGCAGGCTTTAGCTTGTAGTTACAGTGGTACGCTTCAGGTTACAGACTCCACTAACCCAGAAATAGTACCTCGGGTTAAGAACTTTGCTTCAGGATGAGAACAGAAATTGTGCTCCGGCGGCGCGGCAGCAGCAGGAGGCCCCATTAGCTAAAGTGGTGCTTCAGGTTAAGAACAGTTTCAGGTTAAGAATGGACCTCCAGAACAAATTAAGTTCTTATCCCGAGGTACCACTGTACAGAAGAGAGAGTGGGTTCATCCCATGATACATCAAGATGGGATAAAACGAAGAAGGAGGGAAGATGGCTGTGTGACCAGCTCTTTTATGGGGTCTTCCAGGGTCACGCCCATCTACCTGGTCACATGCAGGGGGAGGATGCTCCAGAGAGGTGTGAGTCCAGCATTAAAAATCTGCACAATTAATCCTGGCATCGAGTTAAGACCGATTCATTCTACAGACTTTGTGGATTTAACATCACACCAACTTTCTCCTCCTTACCTTCCCAATTTTATTTAACTTCTCATCTGATATCCTACAGGTCTGGCAGGGTTTTGAAGGGCTTACACATGCCTGGAAAGCCTGTTTATTAGAAACAACATTAGAAGGCTCGGTTCAAGCAGCAGGCGATGAGACTTCCTTCATGGCAGATTCAGCCAGGGGCAAAACTCGGCTTTATTTCACCCGGGTCAAGGACTGAGTTTGGCACCCCTGCCACGCACATTTGCGTACACACATACACAGACTGAGAGACTCGGAGGCCTCTGGAGGCTTCACCTGGGGCTAAAAACCTGGCTAGATCACAGCTACAGCTCTGCCTTCAACCCAGGGGCATAGGATTTATTTTAGGGAGGGTCAGGTTTTATGTTGTGGGGTCAGAACCAAGTTATGTGCAACACAATTGGTCAGTTAGTTAAGGATTTTTATTTATTTACTTGATTTTGGTGGGGGGGGGGGCAGCTGCCCCCTCCTGGCTACACACGTGCCTTCAGCTCTGAAGTATGCTTCAAGGTAAAAGTGGATTACAACCCTTGCTCCCTGGCCTGCATTGCAAACAGGAGAAAAAGCATTATATTACCCCTCTGCATCTTTTTGCAGATTGTGAGGACAAAAGGAGTTAAAGCATGCTACCTGGGACTTTGTTTGCATGGCAATCCTGAGTAACAGCTCTCTGCCTTGTGTCCTTCACAGGCATGTATACATAGGCAACTGTGCTTGTGCACCCTGAGGCAAAAACAGGCGTTCAGACAGGCACATCCTATCAGTCATGGAGATATTTGATAGGAATCCTTTTGGGAATCAAAGTGAGGCTCAGGGTTTGTGCATGCTGTGGGAGTGCATGAGCGTGTGCGAGCAAGTGTATGTGCGCGCGCATACACACACAAACCACGACAGCAAGAGTGTGTGAGCAAGCATTAGTATGCGCCCTTTAGCTGCCAAGGGGAAATTGTGCAGCTTAAGAATTGCAGCTCTGTCCTTCACTGGGATACACGCACAGACTGCATGCCCAGGTGGCAAAGAACCACGTTTTCTCTGGATTTTTTTTTAAACAGAGGTGGATAGGATCCATTGAGCCCAGGCAAGACACTGCAAGAAGTCAAGGAAAATCTTGAATTGTGTGTTTGTAGACCACATCTTAGGGATGTCTTAACCCAAGGTACTACTTCCGGGTTAGCAGAGTCTGTAACCTGAAGTGTTTGTAACCCGAGGTACCACTGTATTATTAATTAATAGGACGTCCCTAATTTCATCAGGGGACGCGGGTGGCGCTGTGGGTTAAACCACAGAGCCTAGGACTTGCCAATCAGAAAGTCGGCGGTTCGAATCCCTGCGACGGGGTGAGCTCCCGTTGCTCGCTCCCTGCCCCTGCCAACCTAGCAGTTCGAAAGCACATCAAAGTGCAAGTAAATAAATAGGTACCGCTCCAGCAGGAAGGTAAACAGCGTTTCCGTGCACTGCTCTGGTTTGCCAGAAGCGGCTAGTCATGCTGGCCACATGACCCGGAAGCTGTACACCGGCTCCCTCGGCCAATAAAGCGAGATGAGCGCCGCAACCCCAGAGTTGGCCACAACTGGACCTAATGGTCAGGGGTCCCTTTACCTTTACCTAGAGACATCTTAACTCTTAGATAGCCAACACAGCACCCTTGAAATCCTGTTAGACTCCAGCTCCCATCAGTCCCAGTCAGCATGGCCAATTGTTAAGGAAGATGGGAACTGTAGTCCAGCGACACGGTTTGGGGAGGGGGCAGACCATGTTGGCTACCTCTGTCTTAACTATAAACTGTTACAGACACATCCCTGGATTTGGTAGCAACAACTTTAGGGGCAAGAGAACATAATGCCATGCCTACACAAGCTTTTTATGTGCTGACAGCTTGGGTCTTGCTGGAAGGAGGGTATACCATGTTGCATGGCATCCCTTCCCTGCTGGAACAATGTTCCTCAGTCCAGTGTATCTTGTGGGGTGATGGTGGGAAATCAGGACAGCTGTTGAATGGTTTGTGGGAAGTGAGCAACATCTGGGCACTGACACCTCTCCCCCAAGCCGAGTGAACATACAACAATATGATGGTGATGATGATCGTGGTAATACTTAACATTCCTAAAGGGCTTCCAAGTATTATACATGCTTTGATTCTGTGCACTATCTTGCTGCAGTCCTTACAACAAAGATGTAAGGAGGGTGATTCTTGGCAGCCACATCTTGCAAATTTGGGGATGGAGAAGTGAAGCTCAGAGGGAGTAGCTTCACTAAGGCAATCTGGTAAGCTCTTGCTAGAGGTGAGATTGGAACCAGAGACGATGACCTGATTCATAGCTCCATCTCTTAGTCACTACACTACCAGCTCTCAGAGATTGTCTGCATTTCAGAATGTGAAGGTTGTCCTCCAAACCACTTTGCTGATCTGGAGCTGTATGAGGGCTAGGCGTAAACTAGAGGACCTTGAGCACTCCTTCTTGACAGTGTACACATGAACAGGGGGTCACCAACTTTTGAAGGTTCACGGGCACCTTTGGCTTTCTGAACGAGTGTCAGGTGTGCTCCCTGTTTGGATCGCTTCCCATGGGGACAGAAAGTGTGTGCACATGCGCACTTGGCTTTTCTGAGCCAGATTTGTAAAAGCCGGGTCCAGCAGAATTAATATGAGCCTTGAAAACGATGCAGTGGCAAAAAGGAGGAAGTGGGAAAGAACGTCACTCTTCCAACTTCGTCCTATGTACTTTGCAAGGAGGAGAAAGCTAACCATTCTTTAAATAAATAAATAAATCCCTGCTTGTCACGCTCCCTTCGCAGTAGCACAGGAGTCCTTTTCTCCCATTGCTCCGTGTGATGAGTTCTCCCAACTGCTTGGGCTCCTTGGTTCCATAATATGGAAGCAACTGCAGAAAGAGGCTTCAGGGCATCATTTTATTACAGGTCGGGCTTCTTAACGCTAAGAAGAGTCCTGCTGGATTAGGCCAGTAGCCCATCTAGCCCAGCACACCGCCCTCAAAACGGCTAACCAGATGTATTTGGGAAGCCTGCAAGCTGGACATGAACGCAACAGCACTCTCCCCCTCTGGCCATTTCCAGCAACTGGTGACCATAGCTGTCAACTTTCAGATTTGAAAATAAGGGATCAGCAGCCCCGAAAATAAGGGATCAGCAGCCTCACCTGTCCCAGGGACAGTCTACGGGATATCTAACAATCCGGGATAGCAGTGGGAAGCAGCAGGAAACGGCGCTGGAATAAGGGAATTTCCTGCAAAAAAAGGGAAGGTTGACAGCTATGTTGGTGACAGTGGAGGCAAGACGCATCCATCAGAGCGAATAATCACTGATAGCCTTGCAGACCCTGCAAGTGTCCCTATTTTCCAGGCACAGTCCCAGATATACAGAAGCCGTCCCGGTTTCTGATTTGATCCCAGAATGTCCCACTTTTCTTAGGACGCCCCTATTTTCATCAGATAAATGTTGGAGGGTATGGAGTTATCCAACCCTGGAGCCAAGGAGATATGTACCTATAAAACCTTTCAAAGACTTCTGAAGGCAGCTCTGTATAGGGAAGTTTTTAAAAAATGTTTCATGTTTTATTATGTTTTTATATACAGTGGTACCTCGGGTTAAGTACTTAATTCGTTCCGGAGGTTCGTACTTAACCTGAAACTGTTCTTAACCTGAAGCACCACTTTAGCTAATGGGGCCTCCTGCTGCCACTGCTGCGCCACCGCTGCACGATTTCTGTTCTCATCCTGAACCAAAGTTATTAACCTGAAGCACTATTTCTGGGTTAGTGGAGTCTGTAACCTGAAGCGTATGTTACCTGAGGTACCACTGTATGTTGGAAGCCACCTAGAGTCCTATTCATTACAGTGGTACCTCTGGTTACGTACTTAATTCATTCTGGAGGTCCGTTCTTAACCTGAAAGCATTCTTAACCTGAAGTACCACTTTAGCTAATAGGGCCTTCTGCTGCCGCCATGCCACTGGCGCACAATTCCTGTTCTCATCCTGAGGTAAAGTTCTTAACCCGAGGTACTACTTCCGGGTTAGCAGAGTCTGTAACCTGAAGTGTTTGTAACCTGAAGTGTTTGTAACCCGAGGTAAAACTGTATTATTAATTAATAGGACATCCCTAATTTCATCAGAGAAATGTTGGAGGGCATGGCCTTATCCTCCATGCATTTGCTTAATCCTCTTTTGAAGCCATCCAAGCTGATAGCCGTCACTGCTTCCTCTGTGAGTGAGTTCCATAGTTATTCACGGTGTGAATAAGCTCTTCCTTTAGTCCTCCTGAATCTTCCAAGAGTGGGTATTCCCTGAGTGTTATTATGACAGAGGGAGAAAACCATTTCTCTAACTGCTTTCCCCATGCCATGCATGATTTTATACACTGCTCTCATGCTCCCCCTCTTACCTGCCTTTGCTCTGAACTTAAAAAAAACACACCAACCCGAATATTGTAACCTTTCCTCATAAGGGAGTTGTTCCATCCCCTTGAGGCAGTGCAATCAGAGAGAGAAGTTGAAAGGAGTAATAAAGGTAAAGCTGCCCTTTGATCATCTCTGGGTTTTTAAAACCCTGTCATGAATATCTCCTGCAAAACTATACAGTAGGGGTAGGAAACCTGTACCATAGGAAGTTTCTCCTAATATTCTGTTGAAATCCACGCTTCTGTGTGGAGGTAGGGCATCTGTTCTCATGCAGAAGGTCCTAGTCATAATTTACATGCTTCTAGTTGTGCTTTTAGGGACGCAGGTGGCACTGTGGGTTAAACCACAGAGGCTAGGACTTGCCGATCAGAAGGTCGGCGGTTCGAATCCCCGCGACGGGGTGAGCTCCTGTTGCCCGGTCCCTGCTCCTGCCAACCTAGCAGTTCGAAAGCACGTCAAAGTGCAAGTAGATAAATAGGTACCACTCCAGCGGGAAGGTAAACGGCCTTTCCGTGTGCTGCTCTGGTTCGCCAGAAGCGGCTTAGTCATGCTGGCCACATGGCCTGGAAGCTGTACGCCGGCTCCCTTGACCAATAAAGCGAGATAAGCGCCACAACCTCAGAGTCGGTCATGACTGGACCTAATGGTCAGGGGTCCCTTTACCTTTACCTTTAGTTGTGCTTTTGTGACCCACCTTTGATGAGGCCAATATCCAGCTGTGGGTCCTGACAGTGGCGTAGCCTGGCTTGCTGGCACCCAGGGCATGCGTAAATGGAGTATAAATGGAGCCCATTGTGCCAGCCCAGCCCTCACCATCAATGGTGCTGGAGCGAGCCCTCACCAGAGGAAAAAATGGGCCCGCGCTGCCAGACCGCACGGGGGGAGCCCGGCCGGATGATGCAACCCTGGGAGGCAAATCCCCCTGAAGCCCGCGGAGACAAGTGGTGGGCTGGGCCACTCTGGGATTGCCCCTTGCCCGCCTCCCTCCCTCCACGTCCAACTGGGGACTGCGTCAAGCAAGGAGCAAGTGAGTGCTGGCCTGGCAGCCATTCAGCAAGGGGGCCAGGGTCGCAGAAGTGAGGCTAGGCTGGTCTCCGGGGCCCAGAGACCCCCCCAGCGCCAGACAGGGAAGGACGGGGAGCTGGGGACAGTGCTTGCCAGGATGTGCCTAGCTGGGACAGGGATCCCTGCAGAAGCCAGTGCCTGTGTGTGGGCACCTGGTTCATGCCCCCTCAAAATTGCACACCCGGGGCTATGGCCCCCCGTCCTCCCATGCTATGCCCCTGGCCCTGGGACCAGTTGAAGACTAAAAAGGTAAAGGGACCCCTGACCATTAGGTCCAGTTCTGCCCGACTCTGGGATTGTGGCGCTCATCTAGCTTTATTGGCCGAGGGAGCCGGTGTACAGCTTCCGGGTCATGTGGCCAGCATGACTAAGCCGCTTCTGGCGAACCAGAGCAGCGCACAGAAACGCCGTTTACCTTCCCGCCGGAGCAGTACCTGTTTATCTACTTGCACTTTGACGTGCTTTCGAACTGCTAGGTTGGCAGGAGCAGGGACTGAGCAATGGGAGCTCACCCCATCGCGGGGATTCCAACCGCCGACCTTCTGATCGGCAAGTCCTAGGCTCTGTGGTTTAACCCACAGCGCCACCCGCGTCCCTAGTTGAAGACTAGTGATGTACAAAAAATTGAGCTGGACCAAAGGCCTTGACTTGGTATAACACAGTTTCCTAAGATCTAATCCTTCCCTCTGGATCTCTTCAGGGAGATGGCAGGTTATTTACAGCCAGTGTAACAAGGACTTCAGCAAAATCTATAGTATAGCTTGAAAAAGGCACAAAGAAGGCAAGAGGGATGCCATTGTGGTTAAGCGTCACACAGTCCCTTGTTTATTTATTACTTGCCCTCCTCCTGCAAGGTCCCAGGTGGGTCACAACATTTAAGTGCACAATTAAAAACAGTTTAAAACAAGTTGCAATCATAACAGTGGGTGGGTCCTGAAAAGATATGCAAACCTCAAGTGTCAAAAGCCAGGTCAAGGATAAAGGTCAAGTAGACTTCCTCCCCCCGCTAAAACTATCTTCCAAGTGACATCAAATGAAGAGATGTAGAATTATCTGCCCTTAGAAGAGGCTCATGAGAGGGACACAAGGGCTGGACAGTAAATTACAGTGCACAGGACTGAAACAGAAACCCTCCTCTGCAGATTTGGCCTCAGGGCTGCCTTTCATGATTTAAGACATTTCTCACAGCTACCCTGCTGTCTTTTGAACCAGCCCCTTTACCTGTCCTGTTCCTTTAAAAGTTGCTGATCTGCAGCGATTAGCAGGTGGGTCCTGCTTTAGCTCCCAAGCTATGGAAAGTTTCACCTATTGCTTTCTGCAAGTCAAACCTCTATTAAAGGTACAGGAGCAAGTCAGGACGTTCCTTTCTTGTGTCCCAACTTTCTTGGCCAGCTGGCATTCCTGACTGACCGTTGCAGGATGGAAAACTGAAGGGAATGGCATGTCCTGCAAGAGGGCGTGTCTGTTTGTCTGAAACCCTGAATAGAAACGCTCTATACGGCAACATTTTTTGGGGTGGAAAGAGGCAGGAACGGAAAAACCCATGCAAAATGGTCACCGCCTGTACGCTAAAACACTGCAGAAGCCTGGGCGCAAGGCGCACACCAGTATTTACTTGGCACCAATGTGGTGACAGCTTCAGCAACACCCACTTGCAAAGGGAGGGTAAAACCACAAAGGGGAACCCCCCCCCCCCACAGAGAAGAAGGCTGCTGGGATTCTTGCAGAAAAGGCTGAATTAATGCGTCCGGAAAAACCACTTCTTCTGTTCTTAAGCGAGTGTGCATGCTCAGGGTCACTTATCGCCCATTCTGCTTTTGCTTTTAAAAGATCACAAGCATGCACCCTGGCTTTGTAAATTGAAAGCACATCTGTGGGCCACAGGAAAACCCACATATATGCTTTGTTTTAAAGGAGAAGACCACTCCAAGGGAGTCCACCCCCAGGGCTAATGTTCAAGCATGCATGCACGCACTAAATTAAAATGCTGTTGGCTTTTACTCAGAAGAAGAAGAAAGAAGAAAATCTGGCTTTACTGAAAAACAATCAGGCAATACCATGATTCCACCTCGCAACATTTATGGCACCAGGCTTTGGGGTCAAAAATAGAGTGTCTGGTTGGCATTTGTCAACTCACTTAGAATTGTGGAATTGTAGAGTTAAAAGGTAGGGACGCGGGTTGCACTGTGGGTTAAACCACAGAGCCTAGGACTTGCTGATCAGAAGGTCGGCGGTTCGAATCCCCATGACAGGGTGAGTTCCCGTTGCTCGGTCCCTGCTTCTGCCAACCTAGCAGTTCAAAAGCACGTCAAAGTGCAAGTAGATAAATGGGTACCACTCCGGTGGGAAGGTAAATGGCGTTTCCGTGCGCTGCTCCTTCGGCCAATAAAGCAAGATGAGCGCCGCAACCCCAGAGTCGGTCATGACTGGACCTAATGGTCAGGGGTCCCTTTACCTTTACCTTTAGCGTTGAAACATACCCCCAGGGTCATCTAGTCCAACCCTCTGCAATGCAGGTATCTCAACTAAAGCATCCATGAGAGATGGCCATGAAACCTCTGCATAAAAACCTCAAGGGAAGGAGAGTCCAACGCCTGCCAAAGGAGTCCGTTCCACTGTCAAACAGCTCACTATCAGAAAGTTCTTCTTAGTGTTTACGTGAAAACTCCTTTCCTGTAACTTGAATCCATTGGTTTGAGTCCTGCCCTCCAGAGTAAGAGAAAACAAGCATGCTCCATCCATGTGACAGCTCTTTAGATCTTTGAAGATGGCTCTCATATCTCCTCTCAGTACTCCTCTTTTTCAGGCTAAACATGCCCAACTCCCTGAATCGTTCCTCATAAGGCTTGGTTTCCAGACACTTGATCATCTTGGTCGCCCTCCTCTGCACAAGTTCCAGCTTTTCAATTGTTGTTGTTTAGTCGTGTCTGACTCTTCGTGACCCCCTGGACCACAGCACGCCAGGCACTCCTGTCTTCCACTGCCTCCCGCAGTTTGGTCAAACTCATGCTGGTAGCTTCAAGAACACTGTCCAACCATCTCGTCCTCTGTCGTCCCCATCTCCTTGTGCCCTCCATCTTTCCTGACATCAGGGTCTTTTCCAGGGAGTCTTCTCTTCTCATGAGGTGGCCAAAGTATTGGGGCCTCAGCTTCAGGATCTGTCCTTCCAGTGAGCACTCAGGGCTGATTTCCTTCAGAATGGATATGTTTGATCTTCTTGCAGTCCATGGGACTCTCAAGAGTCTCCTCCAATACCATAATTCAAAGGCATCAATTCTTCAGCGATCAGCCTTCTTTATGGTCCAGCTCTCACTTCCATACATCACTACTGGGAAAACCATAGCTTTAACTATCCGGACCTTTGTTGGCAAGGTGATGTCTCTGCTTTTTAAGATGTTGTCTAGGTTTGTCATTGCTTTTCTCCCAAGAAGCAGGCGTCTTTTAATTTCGTGACTGCTGTCACCATCTGCAGTGAAGCTTTTCAATATCCTCCTTAAATTGAGGTGCCCAGAACTGGACACAATATTGCAGGTCTGACCGAGGCAGAATAGAGTAGTACTTTTGCTTCTCTTTTTTCTGGACAATATACCTCTGTTGATGCATCCTAGAATAGCATTTGTTTTTGTTGTTGCTGCATCACACTGTTGACTCATTTTAAGCTTGTGGTCCACCAAGACCCCTAGAGCCTTTTCACACATACTACTAGCAAGCCTCCATCTTATATTTGTGCAGCTGGTTTTTCCTGCCTAAGTGTAGAGCCTTACATTTGTCGCTATTGAAATTCATTTTGTTAGTCTGGGCAGTTAAGGTCATCTTGAATCCCAATTCTGTCTTCTGTGGCATTAGCTACCCCTCCCAGTTTGGTGTCACCTGCAAGTTTGATTAACATCCACAGATTTGGACTATAAAGAAAAGACATAAAATCCACACAGAAACATTTTATTTGGACTTAAACACACTTGCAGAATGAACGCAGAGGCTGTTGAAAATAATGAAGGATTAACATCAGAATGTCTTAAGGGAGTTATTGTAATATTTTGAAATGCAATAGAACTACGGGATGATTAGGATTCCCTCCGATCTCGAAGCATGGGAAGTCAGCTAAAAAATAATAATAATTTATAATTAGGCATAAAATTGGAATTTGTTTAATCATTGGATAATTTGGAATATATAATTTGGTTTGATTGGAAAATTTCAATAAATATTATTATTATTTTAAAAAGTTTGATTAGCATCCCCTCAATTCCTTCATCAAACTCATTTATAAAGATGTTGAACAGCAACAGGCTCAGGACAGAACCCCACAACACCCTACTTGTCATTTTTTCCAAGATGACAAGAAACCATTAGTGAACACTCTTTGAGTTCGGTCAGTCAACTAGCCACAAATCCACCTTACAGTAACCTCCTCCAGCACACATTTTACCAACTTATCCACAAGAATAATGGGGGAGTTTGTCAAACACCTTCCTGAAATCAAGATACGTTGTGTCCACAGCATTTCCCTAACCCACCAAAAAAAGAAATGAGATTTGTCTGGCATAACTTGTTTGAGAAAGCCATGCTGGGTCTTGATAATCACAGCATCCTTTTCTAAGTGCTCACAGATTGAGTGTTTAATTATCTGGTCTAGGACCTTTCCTGGTATCAATGTCAAGCTCACCTGTGTCTTCCTTTTTCCCTTTTTTGAAGACGGGGACATTTGCCCATAGGGAAACTCACCTGTTCTCCAAGAATTCTCAAAGATAATAGACAGAGGCTCTGAGATTAAACGCTGAAGGCAGAGAGAATTTAAAGAAAAAGTCCCAGATGGAGCATTCACACAAGTATGGAATGTTCAGTGCCAGTTGGAATGGAGTAGCCTAGAGTTGGGCATGGATTGCAGGCTGGGATCTTGGACGGAAGCACTGCTGATAGAAAGTAAGGATATACTGCAACGTTTTGTTGTAGGTTCTAGCTGTGTGCTGATGTTCTTGGGAAGTTTCCTGTGCTATCAAATGCAGCTGCCCATTCTCACTTGCTACCTCTTTTGCCTGAAACGCCACCCCCTTTGTGAAGCCAACCGCCCCCTTTCCCATGCTTCCTGTAAAACTCACCTTTTCAGAGAAGCCTGAACTTAAATGAAGCCCAGGTGCTTATTGCTGCTTCTGTGCACATTCACCACTCATAAAGCTTGATTGTTCAATTCCATCCTTCTCTAGGCCCCCTCTTGTTAGCTCTGCCCACTGTCAGGATTTAGATTGACAGCGTGCTCAGTCTTTTTGCTTGTAATACTCTTGTGAAGTGCTATATACACAACACTAATAACTATTCCCCAAATTCCACTGGGTCATCCCTCAACTATATCGGGCAAGCCTAAACACCTGGCATCTCTACATCCCTCACTTCATTCATTCATTCATTGTGAGTTGTTAATCACCTTATATGGAATGTTATATATACGGTAGCTTCAGTCATATTCCACTGGATGGCTCAGTTGGTTAGAGTGTAGTGCTGATGACACCTAGTTTGCAGGTTCGATCCCCATAAGGAATAGTTACATATTCCTGCATTGCAGGGGGTAGGACTGGATGTTCCTTGGGGTCCCTTCCAACTCCATGATTTTATGAACCCAGTTTCAAGGTGATGCACCATCTTAAGAATAAAAGGTAAAGGTAAAGGGACCCCTGACCATTAGGTCCAGTCATGACCGACTCTGGGGTTGTGGCGCTCATCTCGCTTTATTGGCCGAGGGAGCCAGCGTGCAGCTTCCGGGTCATGTGGCCAGCATGACTAAGCCACTTCTGGCGTACCAGAGCAACGCACGGAAACGCTGTTTACCTTCCCGCCAGAGCAGTACCTATTTATCTACTTGCACTCTGACGTGCTTTCAAACTGCTAGGTTGCCAGGAGCAGGGACCGAGCAACGGGAGCTCACCCCGTCGCGGGGATTTGAACCGCCGACCTTCTGATCGGCAAGTCCTAGGCTCTGTGGTTTAACCCACAGCGCCACCCGCGTCCCTATCTTAAGAATAGTATCCATGAATTACAAAATGTAGTAGTTAAAACACAATGAAGAAATGTACTATGACTATCATATCAATAACTTATCACACAACAAATAATTTCCAGAATATTAAGGGAGAGAAATTGTCCATGCATATTAAAATATCTTTGCAGAAAACAGCGGGAGGGGCAAAATTATCACTCCCCTAACCAGCACAGTTCCAGTGTTGCTGTTTCATGCATATCATATACATGTGTGTACGCATACATACAACCGCGTAACCTGCATAAATGCCGGCTGGCAACACTTGCCAGGAAGAGTCAGTCCTCTGGAATATGCCCCTGAGTTGCATCAGGCCTAGCAGATGCCGGGTGTTCCTCAGGCCAATAGATGGCGCCCTCTGCACAAGGCAGCTCTTAGCAGCCAGGGAAGGTGGGGGAAGCGACTTCCACGCAGCAGCTGGAAGAAAACCTTAACCCTTCCTGTTTCTCAGCTGTGCTGAGAGCAACACAATTTTTCAGGGCTTGCAGAGCAAAGGAAAGTCAGTGGAACTAGATGCCAACCCTCCCACAGGAAGGGGAATTAGGTAGGTGGGACCCTTTTCTACCTGTGCATAGCTGCACACACCTCTTGCCAAAGTTATCTGTCCTGCGGATCTCTTGAATTTAATAAATAAAAATAAAGCCATGGGAGTCTGCTCTTCTTTTGCAGCTGGGCACCCTGTCAGCAGTTGCCTTGATGAAGTTGAGCCTCTGAAGCTTAGATCTGGGAATCACTGGCCAGCCCTGGAATAGCATGCCATGCAAGAACAATATCTGTGCCACCGCAAGCCCCCTGGAGGAAGGTTACAGCACACAGAACCATTTCCCCTTATTTCAAATGTTCAGGTGTGAGTGCCATTGTTTATACAGCCGAAACAGCTCGACCCACAAAAGGGAGATGTCGGCAGACATGGAGAAATCCTGAGATCTGCAGTAGAACAAGTATATATATTTTGGAGGAAGACAAAGCTAAATCATAAGGGTGGGATAAAACCCCAACGTAGTCCAACTGAGCATGCTTAGTTGCTACAGAATGATGACTCGTCGGGATGGAATGAAGTAAGTTGGAGAGGGCATGGCTTACTGACTCGAACATGCCATGCTGCAACATTTTGTTGCAGCAGGACACCTTTGTACATGCAATTTCAGAAGCGGTATACGAACTTCTCAACTCTTAAGTGGCACTGCCAGCAGCCAAGTCATGCTGAAAAAAGAAAGTTGTGAGAAAATGAGGTGCTTTCAGGGTACTCAAGCAGTGACCCATTACATCCTGTGCTATTTAGGCAAATACACTTTGCTTATGCTCAGAGGGGCACTTTAATTCCCCCCCACACACACACATTCTAGAATGGAATACTTGTACTAAAAATAGATCTCAAGGGCAAAGCTCTGGCTCAGCCCGAAGCCTGAATTTTAACAGGAACGAGAAGGGCTGTCTCCAATTCTTGCATGTCATGACTGATAATGGCGAGCGTTTGTTCTCTTATTCTGTTATCTTACTGCAGGGGCTGGAGGCAGTGTGCTTCTGCAGATCAGTTGCTGGAAACTGCAGGAGGGGAGAGGCCTGTGCGTAAGCTCCTGTTTGTGGGCTTCCCATGGGCATCTAGTTGGCCACTGTGAGAACAGGATGCTAGACTAGGTGGGCCACCGATCCAATCCCCTGGGGTTATTTGAATGTTCTTATCTTGAGAACTTCACAGCGTACAGAACAGTTGCATTCATATCCAAATGCGGTGGGGAACCAGGGACCCTCCAGATGTTATTGGTCTCCAAATCCTATCAACCTCAGCCAGCATGGCTGATAGTCAAGGATGTTGGGAGTTGCAGTCCAACAACATTCGGAGGGGGGCATAGCTGTCAACTGTCCCTTATTTGGCAGGAAACTCCCTTATCCTAGCGCCGTGTCCCGCTACTGTCCCGGATTGATGATGTCCCTTAAATTCCCCGGGTTTCATGCTCGCCCGGCTCAGGAGGGAAGCAGCAGCTCAGGGTCTTCCGCCGCGCACGAGAGAGCGTGCACGAGCTGCCGCGTCTCCGTCTCTCCCCTTTCCCCCTCAGGGGGGCATCGTGAGGAGACGGGTGGCGGCAGGCGGGCAGGCAGCCCCTCTCTTGCGAGACTTCTGCCGCGCTGCCAGGGGAAGCCAGAGGCGGCTGAGGAGGCGGCCTGAGGGAGGAGGAAGAGGAGGGGATGGGGAAGGACGCAGAAGGGTGGCGCTTCAGCGGCCGCCACGGCACTGCAATTGCCTCATGCCGGGCTCGTGGGCGAGAGTCTCTCTTCCCCCCTCCCTCTCTCTCGGGTGGGGAAGGGCCGATGGAACTCCTCGCGCCAGGACGACGGCAGCCCCGACGTGCATATCCCTTATTTGGGCTGCTGATCCCTTATTTTCAAGGCTGCTGGTCCCTTATTTTCAAATCTGTAAGTTGACATGGGGGGGCAGGTTCCCCACTTCTGATATACCACCGGCAGATCATCGCAAAATAACACAAGGAGGAACACAACCTTCTCCACTCTATTCACACACCATGTATTTCTACTAAAGTCTATTTTGTCATCACCTCTTTATTCCACTTTTCCTCCAAGGAGCTCAAGGTGGCATATATATGTCCCTTCATTCTGTCCTCACGACGACCCTGGAAGGTAGGTTGGACTGAGAGATGAGAATGACTGGTCCAAGCACACTGAGTGAGCTTTGTGGCTCTGTGAGAAAATTGACTCTCCCTTGTGTTGTTTTTAACTCCTCTAACAGCTACACCCCATATGCCAGACTTGTAACCCAGATATTGCACCACCTTTACCTTTAACAATGCATAGCCAGGGGAAGATGGGGCTCCCTGCCCAGTTCCTTCCATCACCCATCCTTCTCTCTGCAAAACTGGGGTTCTGCTTGGTTTAATAGACAAACTTGTTTCAGCCATCCTTTTACAAAGACGGTGATATAAACATGTGGATTTCATAGGTCACTAGAATGCCCAAAGCATTTTTCATTCATTAGCTCACCCGTCCTTAGCACAGCCCTGCAAGGTAGGTCAGTATTATGTCGTCCCCCATTTTGCAGATGTGGGGGGTGGCAGCTAGTGCAAATCCTTCAGGCAGGACCAAGTCAGCATTCCAGTCCTTTCCTACAGCTGCGCAAAGCTGGACTGGCGTCAGCTGCTCTCAGGATGGCGTATTGATTTTTGGAAACAGTTCATTTATAACCATTGGGTAGTTGAACTTTCACCCTGTCATTTCCTCCTGATGTTTCTGGGAATTGCTGGAGAGAAGGCTTTGGGGCTTATTTAACAGGAGGTTACAGGAGCCGAGCAACAGCAAGCAAGGCATGTTGGTGGTTTAACACACACTTGCCTTCCTGGAGAGGGTTTGGCGAGGGCAGCCAGCCCAGGCAGAAGGTGGCACCGGCTACAGGCTTGGCTGGAGGAAAACTGACAAAGTGGGAGTTTAGCCACAGGCCAGCATTATTATTCTTTGCCAGTTTGGTTTAGTTTTTAGCCACAGGTGGGCTTAGCCCATGTCCGGGATTTCCATTGTTCTATACAGCTCAGCAAGTAGATGCCAAACTGAAAAATCTGCGTGCCAAATGGCAAAAGCTCTTTGCAGGCTGAGTTGAGAGATCTTAATGGGTGTTAGAAGATTTCACTTGAAGGTGCTTTGACATTTATAGATGAATTTGTATATCTATATTTAGCTGTATAAGCAGTGATGGCTGGAGCACATTGAGGCTGGTAGAGTGGAAAGCGGGGAGCTCAACAGAAGGTGAAATCAAAGACAATGACAAGCAGTGCCACTCCCTGGGCCTGCTGTAAGTAAGAAGACAGGCAGGTGGTGGCTGGCTGAGGACAGACTGAGGCTGGTGGAGCAGTGCCCCATTTGCCCCTAATAAACTTGCCCTGCATATAATGCAATTCTCTTTAGCCCAGGGATGAGCAACTTGGGGCTCTTCAAGATGTCAGGCAAAGGTAAAGGTAAAAGTAAAGGTACCCCTGACCATTAGGTCCAGTCGTGGCAGACTCTGGGGTTGCGGTGCTCATCTCGCTTTATTGGCCGAGGGAGCCGGTGTACAGCTTCCGGGTCATGTGGCCAGCATGACTAAGCCGCTTCTGGCGAACCAGAGCAGCGCACGGAAATGCCATTTATCTTCCCGCCGGAGTGGTACCTATTTATCTACTTGCACTTTGACGTGCTTTCGAACTGCTAGGTTGGCAGGAGCAGGGACCGAGCAATGGGAGCTCACCCTGTTGCGGGAATTCGAACCGCAGACCTTCTGATTGGCAAGCCCTAGGCTCTATGGTTTAACCCACAGCACCACCCACTGGATTGCAACTCCCATCAGCCTCAGTCAGCACTGTCAAGGGAGAGGGGTGATGGGAGTTGTAGTCCAACAACATCTGGAAGGCCGCAGGATCCCCATTCCTGCTCTAGGAGACACTGCGCTGAACAGAGTCCTTAAAAACCCCCCAATAAGGTTATGGAGATCTTCCAAAGCAGACCAGACAAGCACCTGCCTAGGATGTTGGGACAGGGATCCTTATACTCTAGAATACAGAGCCAGAGGCATGGGATACATATAACCTGTTTGCTCTGTTCGGCCAAGTTTTGACACAAGCTGCTGCCTTAAACGGATGTTTGGTTCCATTTAGCCCAGCTCTCCAAGATTGCAAGCAAAGGTCTTTCCTCGTGCTGTTACTGCTGAGATGCTTTTAATTAGGTGCTAGGGATCGAGTCTGTCAGACAAAGCACCTGCCCAGTGCTGGGCTAGTCTCCTTCAGCCAGATGTCCTTTCGCTCATCAGAAGGCCTGTCATTACCTTGGGATGGCACAAGCCAGGAGGAACCGCTCTCGAGAGGCCAGCAGGGTATCTGCACCTTCAAAATATTTGTGTCTCAGAGTGACTCACAGCTCTGATCCTTTGAACACCTACTTGATGCTAGCAACCCTGCACACAAGAGGCCATTGCTGGGGAGAGGGGAGTCTGTTACGACAGAACTGATAAGGCCTGAGTGTTGACAGAAGCAATAACGAGGCCTGTCCACTTCTGCTCATTATCAGGTGGCGGCAGGGATTATTCTGGAATGCAAAGGGAGCGAAGGCAGCATGTGCAGATCAACACGCTCTTCATTCCCTGGATTCTCTCCGTTATGAGGACCTTTGGAGAATGAGAACTGCTGCGGAGTCCTGACTTGGGAGAGGGGAATCCCATCATTTAACAATGCTAGCTGCATTCTTCACACATGGGCAGCTTGGGTGCAGTAAATATGCTTTCCTCTGTAAGATGTTCAATGCATTTTTGTTTTGCAGACTGATCAGCTGTACCCAATATTCTGCTGTGCAACTCCTCCTATCCTCCAAATGGCTTGGTGTTAGGGGCAGGTCACAAAGGATTTGCAGCCCAACAGCCTAATCCTATGGTCAGCCATGCCCATCAAAGCCTAGGCAGAATCAGGTCCTATTATTACCATGAATTTCTTAATTGCCTTCTGAGCCACCGTCCGAAGGTGATTTACACATAAATCATAGTACAGTGGTACCTCGGGTTACATACGCTTCAGGTTACAGACTCCGCTAACCCAGAAATATTACCTCGGGTTAAGAAGCGGCGGCACAGTGGCAGCAGGAGGCCCCATTAGCTAAAGTGGTACTTCAGGTTAAGAACAGTTTCAGGTTAAAAACAGACCTCCGGAACGAATTAAGTACTTAACCCGAGGTACCACTGTATTACACCTGCAGGCAAAGTCCATGGAAGGAATTCAGTGTCAGTTTGCATGAATGGGGTGTCAGGTCTGTGTGTACATAGGTCACGACCAATTGCAAATTTCTGGTAGCTGAAAGATAACCAAGAAAGGAAACCTTTTAGAGCTTTCCCCAACGTGGTGCCCTCCAGATGTTTTGGACTACAACTCCAACCAGCTCCTGCTGGCACATTTTGACTGCCACCAAAGGAGGCATAATCCAAAACGTATGGAGGGCACCAGGTTGCCGAAGGCTGGTGCGTGTATGAGATTTCAGCAAGTAGAAACATGCTGGTCCTTTTTCATGCCCACATTCCCTCTTCCTAATGCAGTCAGGTAGATCAGTATCTGGGTTTATTTCTAAGAACAATTATGTCTACCTGTATTTATACTTAGGTAGGTAGCCGTGTCGGTCTGATGCAGTCGAAATATATATAAAAATAAAAAAAATGTCCAGTAGCACCTTAGAGTCCAACTAACTTTGTTCTCGGTATAAGCTTTCGTGTACGTTTTGGAGTATGCCTCCTTTGGTGGCAGTCAAAATGTGTCAAATTATTTTTATATCTATCTATCTATCTATCTATCTATCTATCTATCTATATCTATCTATCATCTATATCTCGACTGTATTTATACTGCTGGACCCAAGAACTGAAGGCTACGTGGATGGAAGCCACGGCCTCCAGTCTAGCCTAAACAGCGCTCATACATTTATTGTGTAGCTGATCAACAAAGCAGTGAACTAGCTCTCTGCACGTGCTCAGATGCACCCCTGCCGTTTGCAAATTCCGGGCTCGTTCCTAGCTCCATTCATGCCTCGCTCACCTCCATTCATTCCAACCCCCCTCCTGCCTTTCGCTTCCGTAGGCGTTACATTTCCCCGGAGATCTCGCAAGCTCCTGTTTTCTTCAGGAGGATGCTGGGAGTTGCAGTGTCGAGGAGGATGACCCCTCCTAACTGCTGGGGGGTATTGCGGGAGGGGAAAGACTACAGCTCCCAGCAGCCACCGCACAGGATATGGGAGAGGCGCGTGGCCTGAACCGAGCATTGTAGGTAAAGTAGACCGGGAGTCTGCGGAGGGGTTGCGGGGGTGGGGGTTCATTCATTCATTCAGCATAATTTAGACAGTACAGTATAGTGATGGAGGTGGGGAGGTGGTGCAGATGGGGTGAGAAAAAGACAACATTCGTCCCCTTTTGTTTTTTAACTGTTTAAATTAAAACACATTTGTGTTTGCACATGGCTTGCAAAGCTACTTTCCCACCTGTCGGGGTGCAAAGCGCCCCGCGGGTAACGAGAAAGTAATGGCTAAATCACACCAAACATCCATGATAATCTAATCCGGCAGCTTTGCGACCCAACGGCAGCCAGTCCGTTGTCCTCGGGACGTTCACAAGCAAGGCATGATTTAGGCAGCTGCCTCCCCTCTTCTTTGTCTCCATCGTCTGCTAATCTCAGGTATACTTCCTTTGAACATGGAGGTTCCTTTGTTAGCAGTACAGCTTTATAGCCCCAGACTGCTGGTGTCTTTTTATTTTTGGCCACTGCGTCCTCAAATCACCCTGCAGTATCTCGTCTGAGTCTTGGAGGGTTGGCTGCTGCCAACTATTTCCTTTTGTCTTTCCCTTTTATCTGTCACCATTGTGGCTTTTATTTTATTTATTGTTGGATTTATACCCCGACTTTCCTCCAAGGAACACCCATGGTTCTCCCCCTCTCCACTGTAGCCTCACAACAACCTTTTGAGGTAGTCGAAACAAAATAATAATAAAAATAAATTCCTTCCAGTAGCACCTTAGAGACCAACTAAGTTTGTTATTGGTATGAGCTATCGTGTGCATGCACACTAATTGGTCTCTAAGGTGCTACTGGAAGAATTTTTATTATTACTATTTTTGTTTCAACTACGGCAGACCAACACGACTACCTACCTGTATCTAAACCTTTGAGGTACCGTAGGTTAGGCTGCGAGGCAGTGACGGGCCCAAGCTTCCTGGTTGGCTTGGGATTCGAATTCTGTTGTCCGAGGTCTAACCATGCTGACTTTTATTTTTTAGAATGGCATCAGTTCAAGGCTAAGGGATGGGAAACAGAGAGCAAGTACAGGCCAGGGCAACTGGAGGGGGCTTGCATAGCCTTGACCCAGATGTTATGAATTTGAAAATAGCCTCGGTTGATCAGTGGCACTTCTGTATCTTTAAGGTTGCAATCTTCAGCAGGATTAAAAATGCAATTCTACCCCCCATGTTGATGGGTGATGGGGTTGGGTGGTGTGCATTTGCCTCTCCACTTGGCAGAGAGGGCCACTGTTGTGGGGTGTGTGTGTGTGTGTGTGTGTCTGCCTGCTGTACCAGCAAGTCTGCCTCTACCCAAGTGGGCAGTAACTACCAGCAGTGTAAAGCCCTGAAGCATTGTGGGGATGGAGTGGTAGCAGGCTTTGGTCCCAAGTCCCATGGATGTTCTGAAGCTGGCATGGTGAAAATTAGGGGACCGGAATGCCTTCCATTCTGTCCTGGCAAGCACAGACTGTGAAGGGCTTCAAATGTGAAGGATCTGCTTGCTCCATGCAGTCATACCTCGGGTTGAAGTAGCTTCAGGTTGAGCATTTTCGGGTTGCGCTCCGCGGCGACCCAGAAGTAACAGAGCGCATTACTTACAGGTTTTGCTGCTTGTACATGCGCAGATGCTCAAAATGACGTCACGTGCATGCGCGGAAGCGGCAAATTGCAACCTGTGGACGCAGGTTGCATTCGCATCAGGATGCGAATGGGGCTCCGGAATGGATCCCGTTCTCATCCAGAGGTACCACTGTATATCTGTGGCCTTTCATTAACTTGTTATGTTAACTGTACTCTGACCTGTTCATCCTAAAGTCGGCTGACACTTTCAGGTTCATGTTGGCCAACTTCTAAGTAGGAAAATGAGAACTTTGAGCTTAAAAATCAAAATTCTGTGTCAAGCTAACCAAACCCTGCAAGGGGAGAAGCTACGTGTTTTCAACTAATTTTCAGGTTTTATTTAAAAAAGCATAATGTTCTGCATAATTAACATTGCAGTTAATTTTGCAGTTGCAGTTTTCATGGGGAGGGGCATTGAATTTCTGCTTGTTCCTTCCTGCAAATCTTGATCAGCAGCTCCTCTGGCTTTTGAGATTTTTTTTACCAAATGTTCATATTATTTTTTTTAAAGATATTTATTAAGATTTTCAAAATATTACAAAATTAAAAAAAAGAAAAAGAAAAATACAAAATAAAAATAGTTAAAAACAATTCAGTCTTTCCATCACTTATCTTTCATTTGCTTATTTCCCGGACCTCCTCACGCCTCCCTTTTTTGTATTCCAATTCAGTTTGTTAGTTCAGCAAATCCCTCCCCTCTTTGTTTATCCTAGTCTTCAATCTTAAAGTATTGTAACATTAGATTTTTACCTATTAATAGTCCATTTTTTCATGTTCTCTTATAACATTACAGCTAAAAACCACTTAGTTTCTATCCAACATCATTCTAACATTCATTAATTTTACAATATTTCTGTAAATAGTCTTTAAACTTTTTCCAATCTTCTTCCACCGACTCTTCTCCCTGGTCTCGGATTCTGCCAGTCATTTCTGCCAATTCCATATAGTCCATCACCTTCATCTGCCATTCTTCCAAGGTGGGTAGATCTTGTGTCTTCCAATACTTTGCAATAAGTATTCTTGCTGCTGTTGTGGCATACATAAAGAAAGTTCTATCCTTCTTTGGCACCAATTGGCCGACTATGCCCAGCAGGAAGGCCTCTGGTTTCTTTAGAAAGGTATATTTAAATACCTTTTTCATTTCATTATAGATCATCTCCCAGAAAGCCTTAATCTTTGGGCACGTCCACCAAAGGTGAAAGAATGTACCTTCGTTTTCTTTACATTTCCAACATTTATTATCGGGCAAATGATAGATTTTCGCAAGCTTGACTGGTGTCATGTACCACCTGTATATCATTTTCATAATATTCTCTCTTAGGGCATTACATGCCGTAAATTTCATACCTGTAGTCCACAACTGTTCCCAGTCAGCAAACATAATGTTATGTCCAACATCTTGTGCCCATTTGATCATAGCCGATTTAACCGTTTCATCCTGAGTATTCCATTTCAACAGCAAGTTATACATTCTTGAAAGTATCTTTGTTTTGGGATCTAACAGTTCTGTTTCTAATTTTGATTTTTCCACCTGGAAGCCAATTTTCTTGTCCAAATTATATGCCTCCATTATCTGATAATAATGAAGCCAGTCTCACACTTTTAATTTTTCAAAACTCTGCAATTTCAATTTGTCTCCTTCTTGTTCCAAAATTTCCCAATATTTCGGCCATTTGGCCTCCATATTGAGCTTTTTCTGAGCCTTTGCTTCCATCGGTGACAACCACCTTGGGGTTTTATTTTCAAGTAAGTCCTTATATCTTATCCAGACATTTAACAATGCTTTCCTAACAATATGGTTTTTAAATGCTTTGTGTGCTTTAACCTTGTCATACCACAAATATGCATGCCACCCAAAAACATTATTGAAACCTTCTAAATCCAAAATGTCTGTGTTCTCAAGAAGCAGCCATTCTTTCAACCAGCAGAATGCTGCTGATTCATAATAAAGTTTAAGGTCTGGCAGGGCAAATCCACCTCTTTCCTTTACATCAGTTAATATTTTAAATTTTATTCTGGGCTTCTTGCCCTGCCAAACAAATCTAGAAATGTCTCTCTGCCACTTCTTGAAACAGTCCATTTTGTCCAAGATTTGCAATGATTGAAACAAAAATAACATTCTTGGCAATACATTCATCTTTATAACAGCAATTCGACCTAACAAGGAAAGCTTCAAGTTTGACCATATCTCTAGATCCTTTTTCACTTCTGACCAACATTTCTCATAATTGTCTTTAAATAGGTTTAAGTTCTTAGCGGTCATATTAACCCCCAGGTATTTTACTTTCTTAACCAATGTTAAACCTGTCAAATGTTCATAGAATCCCAGAATCGTAGGGTTGGAAGGGACACCAAGGGTCATCTAGTCTAACTCCTGCAATGCACATTGAACCATGAGTGCTAGAAACATGCCTTTTAAAAAATGAAGGTTGATTCGATCGGATATTGGCCATATATATCCATGAGAGCTAGAAGCATTAAAAAAGAAGAAGATAAAGAATTATATTCTCATGGAGCAGAGTGCTGTGCTCAATATTGTTTTTGGTCTTTTCTTACTGACAGTAGCAGTTCAACCTGAGAGTTCTGATAAAAAAAGTAAATGCCTGAAAATGCTCTATATACCCCTCTCTGGTGAAAACAGACAAGGCTGGAGAAAGCTTGTCAATTTCACCCCATGCTGATTTCTTTCAACTTTCCTTTCCCTTACTTCTGGCAGAACTGCAGCTGGGAGGTTAGTGACTTATAAACGTCAGTGGTGATGTACCGTCTTTTAAAAACTTAAAATAGCGACTTATGCACCAAAGATGGCTTTGTGTGTGTGTGTGTGTGTGTTTATTTTAAAGGGTGGGGGTGGGGCAGGGAAAACAACTACCCCACCAGTGAAATTGTCAAAAGATTTCCCCCAAAGTTATCAGTTTCACCAGAGACCAGACTGGGGGACTGGATGGTTGAAATACCATTTAAAATCCACATTCCTTCATGTCCATCAATCAGTTTTAAAAATCTGATTACAAGCACACGCACACATGCATTCCAACAGGGGGCTGGGGGTGTCGATTGTGCTTTGTGGCATGTGTGAAATTGGTCATGGATATCACAAATCTATACATTTTTTATTATAGTATCCAAATATTAAGTCCCTGTTGCTATCCTTTCCAGTTTTAAAAACTTAACCAATGAATGGAAAATCTCAGTGGCTGCTGGTGCACTTGTGAGTTCTTTCTCCTTAAGTACTGTACAGAGTTGGTGTTCCTTCAGTTACATTGAACAAATACAGCTCTGGTGCTAGGTGCAAAACAACTGCCACTTTTTTTTTATTGGACAGAGGCCCCGTGCTTTTAAGAGCAACACAGTTGGCACAGTGGCCAGAGGGCTAGGATAAGACCTGGGAGGTAAAGGTAAAGGGACCCCTGACCATTAGGTCCAGTCATGACTGACTCTGGGGTTGCGGCGCTCATCTCGCTTTATTGGCCAAGGGAGCCGGGTTACAGCTTCCGGGTCATGTGGCCAGCATGACTAAGCCGCTTCTGGCGAACCAGAGCAGCGCACGGAAACGCTGTTTACCTTCCCGCTGGAGCGGTACCTATTTATCTACTTGCACTTTGACGTGCTTTCGAACTGCTAGGTTGGCAGGAGCTGGGACAGAGCAACAGGAGTTCACTCTGTCGTGGGGATTCGAACCGCCGACCTTCTGATCGGCAAGTCCTAGGCTCTGTGGTTTAACCCACAACGCCACCCGCGTCCCAAACCATGGAGACCAGGGTTCAAATCCCTGCTCAGCTGTAAAACTCACAGGGTAACCTTGTGCCCGTCGGTCAGTCAGCTGAACCTACCTCACAAGGTGGTTGTGAGGAAAGGTGGGATACAAATGGAATGAGCAAACAAACCCATTAGCACTAGGAGGGCATGTTGTGGATGATGATGACTTCAAGTCTCATCATAAAAATTTCTTTCCACTTCTCCAATTTTAAGAGGTACTGTATTTTTTGCTCTATAAGACTCACTTTTTCTCTCCTAAAAAGTAAGGGGAAATGTGTGTGTCATATGGAGCAAATGCAGGCTGTGCAGCTATCCCAGAAGCCAGATCAGCAAGAGGGATTGCTGCTTTTGCTGCGCAGCGATCCCTCTTGTTGTTCTGGCTTCTGAGATTCAGAATATTTTTTTTCATGTTTTCCTCCTCCAAAAACTAGGTACGTC